GTTGACGTCTCTTGACGTACTTTTGACACATGCAGTCCACAGGTGATAGTGCATGTTGTTCCTTTACTAAAGCAACCACATATTTGAACTGGGAGAGGTGACACAATTAACACACTAAAGGCCTGTTGAAAACATTTTCTTCTTAAGTTCTGGGAACTCCTGTACTGAACACCAGGAGACTCGGTGTGTATCTTTTTAAGCAGGATTCTTTTATTGCTGTTGCAATACTGTAGTCTATACACCTTACAAGGGCAGAAGAGGAGTTACATAGAGGAGATGACTCTTTAACAAAACATGTAAATGAAAGTACATGATTCAGCTGGTTACCTGATTTCATCACGTAACAGTGTAACTCCGAACCTTTAGATGCTAATCCAATCAGCCTGATTAGATCAACAAAAGATCCCAACTGATCTTTGAGATGTGTCAAGAGGTTAATGTCCAAAACCTTGATTGCCTCAAAATGAAAAACAGTGTGTGCACTTTCTCAGTTTGTATACTATTGTTTTGGAACTAGAGCCAGACCGATATATCGGCCGGCCGATATTAGGCATTTTCCAAAATATCGGTATCGGCAGTCATAATGGCCGGTAAATGAATATTTAAAAAATAAAATAAAAATGGACGAAACACGCTTCAATCATCTCTCCTTGGCCTGTTATATTGAAAATGTATGTTTTACAATTTGCAGTACGTTATCTATTGCTAAATTATGGCTCATCATAGACTAGCTAACCACAAAGCTAGCTAATGCCACTATCGTCAGTGGAAGACCGCTAACGTTAACATTAATGAACTTTTCCTGCCTAAATAAAGTAATGATTACTGTATTTATAACTAGCATATCTCTAGTTACAGTCCCTGCATTGTAAAATGTAAGTTATACTTGCGAGGAGTGAACATTTAGACATAGAGAAAAAGTATCAAACGTATCTCGTGCAGAAAAGTTAGTTTTTCTTTTACACGTCGTGTGTGAAATCCAACAATATATAATAAAAAAAAAAAATCGGCCGATATATCGGAATATCGTATTTTAAAACCCAAAAATATTTGTATCGTATCGGCCTTCAAAATCCTTTATCGGTCGGTACCGACACGCCTTTTATGTGTTACGTCTTTACTCCGGTATGACAAAGCCATTTACAGGATTTATATAGCGGTAACTTTGTCACATAAAATACAAGTGATATTGTACAAACAATCAAATAACATATTTATTAGAGGAATTAAACAGCCCCTTTTTGACGTTCAGAGCATGTTATGAAGTTGAACCACAAGTCTTCTACACAGGCTTTTTATAAGCTTTATCCAATACAGTTGAGTCAACACATCTATACAGATGCTCTCATGCTAAACCGACGAGACTCTCGCTGACTTCCCAAAGCTTTTTGGCAACTGCGTCATCTCTGGCTTTAGCAAAAACATTCTGCACCGCACAGCTAGAGAAGTAGCGTCCACTCAGGGGCTCAAGGCCCTCTTGAAGAGCACAGTGAAGAGACGTCTGAGCTCCAGAATCCACATCCGTGAAGAAAAGCAGCAAAATCGGTGCCAAGATCATCCGCCACCATAGATCGCTGTGACGACCGATGTTGGTTTTAATGGCCCCTTTAATAGATAAATCAGCGTTAACTGCATATGACCTACGATACTTTATCAAGAGCTGCTTTTCAGAGAATAAAGAACGTCTACTGACCTGGATGAAGACTGTAGCAGGTGACGTTTGTGCCTTTGAGTCTCTTGGCCAGCTCGTGTGTAAAGAGGACATTGCAGAGTTTGCTGTGAGCGTACAACTTCACTAAGGCCAACGCTGAATTTCCTAAACCCAGGTCTTTATGAGTGTTGATGCAGTTGAAATCAATTTTCCCCCACCAATGGGCCATTGAAGACACGGTCACCACTCTGCTGGGGCCGCACTCTTTTAACCGTTCCAACAGCAGGACGGTTAACAGGAAGTGACCGAGGTGATTGACGCCAAAGATCCTTCCAAAGCCGTCCTCAGTCTTGCCAGCAATTACAAGTCCTACAAACATGCAGATGCACAAATTGAATTGAACAATGCATACAATAAAATTGCATATATTTGAGAGCTACCTGCATTGTTGATAAGAATGTCCAATCTGGATTCTTTCTTGAGAAAGTTTTCGGCAAAAGACCTCACAGACTTCAGACTGGCCAGATCCAAGTGCATGTACACCACCTCTTTGTTTCCTGTTTCCTGTGCTCCAAATCAGTACAGCATTAAATGATGGCAATGAAATGCTAATTCAGGAAACTTATATAACAGAATCACAGATTTAATAATAATAATAATAATAACACGTTTTATTTATAAAGCGCCTTTCCAAGCTCAAGGTCGCTGTACAAGAAGATAACAAAAACACAGCATCAAGTATTGGTATGCAGCACATAGTACATATACAAATATTAGGGGTGCAACGATACCCTCATACTGATCTCACGATACGATATTATTGCGATACTCCAAGACATATGATAAAAGGTTAATATAAAATGTACTGTTGATTAAAATGCTAAATTTGATATTACATTGTGCGTTTAAATGAATAGGCTTGGACCCAAAGACAATGGTTGGTGACACCAGAATAACAATATTCATGATTCTGAAGCTGAAAATACAGAATTATTTCAGACGAATATTCTTGCACTGGTCAAGTTACATAAGTCATTAGGCACAAATATTGCATTATTATAGGCTACATTATAATCAACAGCATATAGAGTGCCGAAGTTACGACGTCACTCTGTAGGCCAAAACGCTGTAGTGAGTTAGCATTTTAGCACTCCCGGTTCCCTCGCTCTAAAGCCTATGGGATTTTTGAATGGGTTTTTGCTAAATCGCCTGAAATAAGGTCTGTGGTGAACAAAGCCTCTAAATATTTTCACGTTTTGATTTATAACATAGAACACACAGTTATTATAACCTGTTCGGTTCAGTTTGACAAGAGGTAAAAACTATATAAATACCGTTCGTTTTCTCACACAAACCGCTCGTTTCGTGTCTTAGGCCATCAGTGTGTACTTACATTCATGAGTCATTAAATCATGTTTAATTTTGACTTCTCTGTGCATGCTCTTTGAGGTGGTGACCATAGACCTGCATTATATGACTGACAGACAACAACGGTCAACCGAACAACCAAAAAATGTCAAAATTGAAAATGCTGTGGAAACAAAGACACCTACATCTTGGATGCCCTTGAGGTAAGCTAAAACATATCAAAAATTAATTTCAAAGTGAACTATCCCTTTAAGGTATTTCGATTTGTGTACGATAATTGACAAGTAGATGAGTAACAGAGGATGGGCTGGTGAGAGTAAAACTAGAGAGGATGTGCTTTATGGGCTGAGTTTCATAACTAGATTTTATTTTATTTTCGAAAAAGTTCTCAGAGTATATTTTCAATTAAATAACTGTTACAGTATCTTATTATGAATAAACGGGCATTTTATATGGTGCTCTCTAGAAACTGCAACTCAAGCATTATATAAACGGCGTTGTCACATGCTTCCAGTTTCTTCACTGAGCGCGGGGCCAATCAACAGCCGTTTGTGAACATTTTTTTTTCATATAATAATTATTGAATCATTATTTTATTACTCTAGTGTTTCAGGTTTGCATCTGCATATAAAATACCAATTAATACATTTTTAAAAATATCAACATTTTGCATGCAAGACATGTCCCGAGATTTAAACGCAGAACAACCCTATAAGAGTCCCTAATGGAACTTTTATTTTTTATATTAGTAGAAACGGTCTCTCTCTCACCCTCTGGATGTCTGTGACAGCAGCTTGAGCTCTGCCCTCATCCCTGCAGGCTAGAATCACTCGAGCTCCTCTTCTCGCCAGATCCAGCGCGGTGGCTTTGCCGATACCCGTGTTTGCTCCTGGAAATAAACCAGCTCACATGTCAATCATATCTGTTCAGTTGCTTATCATGTGTGCAACCGTCAGTGCACTAGCTCAGCTGTCTGCGTTGGGTAACACGACTAAAATGTGTTTTAAAACGACTAATGATTTAAATGGTCATGCGTAACTGTTTAAGGACAATAAACGCACGCCCTAAAACCGAAACACGTACCAGTCACGACCACCGTCTTCCCGTGCAGTTTGGCTGTACTTTTACATTTTGGGAGTCGCAGCACCGTCACGCAGAGCAGCAGGTAAAGGCCGACGAGTCCTCCGCAAACAAGCAGGACGGTAAACATGTCCGAAAGAACAGAGCAGGAACGAGCTATAGTTGCTTATGAAAGAGAGCTCGGTTTGCTCTAGTCTGAACAGGAAGACGTGTTGCTGAAGCCAATCCCGATTATCCCGCCCACATTAGTAATAATAACGCTACTGTTCTGATGCTCTTATGTACTTCACACTGAAATTCGCATTTTTGTAACACTGTCTGAGGAAACATGTGAGTGTTCCTTGTCCATGCAAACTCACTACCACTTCTATACAGTTGCCAATTAGCTTCTGTAGCTAGGATTTTGACAGTCTTAAAATAGAAACTAAATATTGTTTTCCAAATTTATTATAATATTATTACACAGTATAAATTGGGTCTTTTTAAATAAAAATATATACAGTAGCTGCCTTTTATATTTCAGAATGGGGTCCCTCTCACAAGGATGGTCATTGGGCATCTAAAAAATTGAAAACTCCTGGTTTAAATCACTCCTTTGTAAAATGATCCGATTCACGTTTTACCATAAACTAGATGAAAATGTTAAGTCTGGTTGCTTGGAGAAAAATAGCACATCTTTTCTTAAACCAATCATAAGATTTGCCTCATTCACATACTGGTTAGACACTTGAATACTTTGCATTTGAGATTTTTCAAAACCCTTTAGTCTAAATACGTTGCATTGGAGATATTTCAAAAAACCTTTAGTCTAAATAAGCAACAGTAATGCTAACTTTAGAAAACTACTAATCTTACAGAAGAGTCGACGAATTAGTAAGCATGACACATGAACACAAGCTGGTGGATTTCTAAAGCATGTTATTTAAAATCTGCTTTGTATTTACATAGTTTGACACAAGAACCTGGTGAAAACTAATTACAGAACACATGAAACAGACACATAAAGGTCACCAAATGGTGCACGACCGAAATAATACAAACTGGAGCACTTTTGCACACTGAAATGTGTGGATCTCTGGCTATTCACATGAATACATACACATATGTACATGAGTCTCTCGTGTCAGGCTAAAGAAACAACAGGTCTGAATGCGCTCCAGAGGACATACATAAATAAAAGCATCCGTTTTTTATGGGAAATAAAAGAAAATGCATGTTTGTATAAAAAGTATTGTTACTGGCACAAAATAGAACATGTTTTTTTTATTTCTTTACACGTGAAAACAGCTCATTGGTTCTTTGAGCTTTGAGGATGATCAAAGTTTCCCTTTAAAAAGTCTTGCATTGAGACAAAATGTGCAACCTGCCTAGTTTTGAAGAAATTAGAAAAAAAAAACAAAAAAAAAAACTCACCTCATGCAAATGTATAAACAATTAAATAATTAGGAAACCGTTCAAACTGTACAGGCCGGTGCTTGAGGGGTTACGTGACGAGGTTGTGTTGGAGCGAAGGAGGCGTGGCCTTGCTCAGCTGCTCCCCCTGTTGGCCAGGTGTGGGAGTGAGGCTGCAGGTGGTGAGCTCCTCTTTAAGCGGCTTGTTGGCGAACTCTGTGATGCTAAATATAAACTGCAGGCAGCCCAGTTTGACATGGCTTCCATGATGGAGGAGTGCAGTGCCTTCCCATCCCGCTCCATTGCCTCCGATCAAACTGGAGCCGCTGTTTTTACAGTTACAGGGAGTGATGGGAGCATCGTGGGACTGGCCGCTCATAACACCGCCCTCGGTTGCAGAGGTCACAGCCGTTGCAGACGACTCCTGCTCCTTTTTCCTGCAGCGTCCTGCAAACACACTCGAGTTAATACTGATGCTTACAATTTTTTTTTTTAAGTTGGCATGACATGGAAATTCACTTATTTATTTTATTAAGGAATTTTTGGTAACGCTTTACTTGAAGAGTAAGCATAAGACTGACATGACAAGTTTATAATCATAACATGACATATGTTAGGGAGTTTATGCATGTTTGTGACAACTGTCATTGAGTGTCATTCGCTCAGTTATGACATTTTTAATGCAAATATGACATTGTTTTTGATGACACCTTGACACACCAATACATCATAACCTGTCAGTGTCTTTGTCATGATAACTTGACATTACTAAGACAACACAACCTGTCATAAACATGACATAGCAGATTAATGATCAAACTTAAGAAAGCTGGTTAACATTACATTAAACCGTCAGCTGGTTGATTGACTTTGGCTGTCATGAAGCCATTATAACTTTTTAATGACAAATTCAATTAGTACCACTGTAGTTGAGGTCACGAAAAATATTCATGACACAGTTATAATGCCTCATGACAGCCAATGTCAAAGCCTACCACATGACAGTTTAACTTCATTTAATGTCAAGTTGTCACGACAAAGACACTCACAGGTTATGATATATTGGTTTAGACATAAAGACATTTTAAACAATGTCATATTTGCATTCAAAATGTCATTATTGAGCGAAAGACACTTAATGACAGTTGTCATAACCCTACATATGTCATGTCATGATTATGAAGCTGTCATGTCAGTCTTATGCACACCCCTTCAAGTAAAGTGTTACCCAATTGGTTTAATTTTTTCAGACTTCTCTAATCAGTTCTCTAAACCAAGCTCACATTCAGCTGAGACTTAAGTCCCCGTCCTACATTTTTTTCTTTTCCAATAGTTTGTTTCACTCGGATGTCCATCAAAATAGGATAGAAAAGTCATAACTCTGGAAGAAATAACTCACGGATAATGTTCTGCACTTTGGTGAGCAGGTTGCTAGATGGGCTCTGGCTCGTCTTCTCAGAGAAGTCACATGAATATAATACGTTGTCAACGGTTGTCCCATGTTCGCTGTAGTTCAGCAGTTCATACTGCTTTGTATTCTGGAGGAAGAAAGAACCAATTTAATCACTCAAGAGATTGAAACCTTTGTCCTTATGTTAATAGTTTAAAATAGCATACCTCATCATAAAATATACAGGCATGTTTCCCTGAAACGTAGTTACAATGCCCGTAGTTTGTAAGGCACACATCCATATCGGCACCTGCAATGAGAAAAGACAGTTGTAAGGAGCACTGTGGGATGATGCACTTCCTGTAGTCACAGGATGATAATCACCTGTCCCGATGTACAGACTCCTGTAGCACATATTGACAGCCGTTCCCTTTCCCGTAACCGAACAGAACGAAGCTCTCGTCTGTACCTCCTTGCTTTGGGCTGTGAACGGAAACATCAAGAGTTCGTGCGCATCTAACTTATAACAATAAGAGCGTAATGAATACAACCTCATACCTTCACTGCGTTTCTTGTGAGCGGGTGACACGGATGAAGGAGAACTGCTCTGAACAGGAGAGGTTGTTAACTCAAAGAGCTGCTGAATCCGCTGCCAAGCCAAGAGCTTGATAAACTTCTCGTCCAATGAGCCGAGCTCAACTTCTGCAATACGAAAAAGATTTCACAATGATTACGAAATGCTGCTGTCTTTTGAATTTGGGTTCTTTTCTATTTTTCTCTCTGAATACACGCCGAGTACACGCCGTTAAATGTCCGAGCGAAACTAAGCAAAATGTAGATCTACATCTGGGGAGAGATATTTTTTTCCTAGGATGGTAGGGGAAGACTCATAAATTGTATTAACCCCAGTGACGGGTAGGTTTAGGGGCGGGGTTGGGGTAGATCATATATTTATATATACAGTAATGCAACGTTAAGTCATACACACGCTGAAAAGCGTTTATGCCTGTTGATGGCACACCAAAAATGGAAATACGAATTGAAGTGTCACACATACGCCATTTCATGAGATCAGTCTGCAAATTGAACAAGCTTACAAACAAGCACTGGAACCTTAAAAAAAATTATCAGGGAAAAAAAATAATCTCACAATTACATTTTTCCCCAAGTCATGATGTAGTCTATCAGAAGTTAAATTCAACGTTTTGTTATAATAATGCTTAATTTAGAAGTGTAAGGGATTTCATATTCTTAAAGTTACACTTTCTGCTTAATCTTAAATCTTAAGTTCCTCAAGAATCAACAGTCCTCTCTCTTAAACATACAAACACACCTCCGCTGTTCGACGTGATGTCCTTTATTCGTCCGGAAAGCTCTGACATGTTAGGTTCTGTGCAGGAAAAGACGTCCCCCCTGCCTGCCATCAAAGAGTCCAAGCCGACCTTTCCATCTGAGAAGAGAACGCAGCCATTCAGTATTTTAAATGGTTGCAACAAGCCAGGTGATAAAGCACATAACTACATAAGCAAACATTGAGATCTCTGACCTTTTGATGCGGTGTCTGAGGTGATTTTCTGCGGTTTAACAGCATGTACTGTTAAGGCTGAGAGTTTTCCTGCAGCTGTGTCTGAAGCTATTGGACTTTTTTTATGGTCAGATGATGGAGTGCTGTGCTCAGATTTGACACAAGCAGGAGCAGTGCCACTACAGGGCTTTAAACCGGCATCCTCTGTCTTGATAATGGCTCCAGAGTTTGTAGGTTTGGGTGAAGCGGGTACGGGTAAACTAGGCGTTTCATGGTCATCTGTCTTTTCTTGGGTTCCATTGGACTGAACCAATCCTTCGACAGGGCCATTTGTGGTCTTACAGTTCGGACACGTTCCATCAGTACATGAAGGACAGGAAACTTTTGACCTGCCCTGTGAGGCGGCGCTCTGGCAGGAATCTCTGAGTTTCAGATCAGTCTTTTCTGTGTCCTCTGAATCCCAAGGAGATGTTTGTCTGTTCCATAAATGCCTCATAATGCTGCACTGCAGCGAGATGACGTCTTTGAGCCACTGCACAAAAGCATTAACAGAATAAGATCTCTGGATCAGAAACAATACTGAATAGAAAAGCAGCATGGCGCCTAATACACACCTGACACTGTTCATCTTCACTGGCTAAGTGCTGCGGGACATAAGCTTCTGTAAGGCCGGTGCAGATGAGCTCCCCTTCACGGATCCCTGCCGGGGCCATCAGAGAGGGAGGGTTCTGATACTGTGACTTTATGGCATCTGGAACCTGCGAAAACCAATCGATATCTCGTGTGAGTTTCAACAAAATCACTGGTGTCATACAGCGAGTGTAAAGAGCGATCACCTTCAGAGTCTTTTTGCTTTGAGCATAAGCCGACCGCCGTTTAGGGGTGTGCTCCCGATGTATCCTCTGCAGGAAGTCAAGTTTGACGGCGTGCTGGGATATGCGGTCCTGAAACTGGTCAAATAACTGGCAGCGGTTGCTGAGGGTCAAGGTTCTCTGGCTCAGCTGTGAGCAAAGGAAGAGAATGGCATGTTGATAACGGCGTTTATTCAGTTTAGGATGTGGAAATGCACAAATTTAAAAGCTATTACAAGTTTTGATTTTTGTTTTATGCAAGCTTCCTTACAACCAGGTTCTGGATGTGGTTGGGACACATCCATCTGCCTGTTGGGAAGGCAGTGAGAGGCGGATCCAAACAGTCCATGTGAAACAAGAGAGGGCAAAAGTCACACTGGATCAGTGGAGCCATTCGGCAGCTCCTGTGAGAAAAAGACAGAATAAAAGACTATTTATTTATTTCTCAAATTTACACGACTGCTCAAATGTTTGGGGTCAGTAATTTTATTTTTAAGAAATCAATGCTTTTATTCAGCAAAGATGCATTAAATCAACACATTTATCATGTTACAAAATATTTTTTTTACTTCAAATAAATATTGCTTTTTACAACTTTCTAGTCATAAAAGCATCCTGAAAAAACAACTGTTTTCAACATTGATGATAATAAGAAATATTTATTGAGCATCAAATCAGATTTAACAATGCTGCAAAAATCCAGCAGTTCATCTGCTTCTAAATAAATTCACCATAATTATCAATAATCACATATTTTTCAAATTAGATTATCTGAAGAAAATCGAGGGCTTTTGCGAAAACACAATACAAAATGACAGCACCGTCAGTTCGATTATGAATGTTGAACATTTTCTCGGCGCTAGTCAATGATATTTTCAAACTTAAAAAGTAGTCCTATTAATTAAAATAAAAACAAATATATAATAATACTAGATCCTGTACCTGCTGCATGTGTAACACACTTTCACCGGCAGTGGAACCAGTCCATGATTGTCCAGCTCATGCTGTGGCCGCTTAACGTTCTTGCCTGATAACTCGTCCTTTCGTCGTCTTTTGCTGGTGCCTGAGAAGAGGAGAATAGATGCATCACATCTTAGAATCATACATAATCTGTTGTTCACATAATTTTTACACAAGTTTTTTTCAAACTTTCTACAAGATAACAGTCCGAATTTTTCCTCTTTGTCTCCATCTCTGTTCGAAATCTGCAATTGCAGTCATTCGTGGAATATCAACTTTACGTGAGTTGTAGTTTGACATGGCACAGCGTGGATGAACACATTGAGAGTGTGTGTCGGTCAGTCACCGTGCCGGTGTCGATACCGGCATTCAGAATCACAGATAATTTTTTTTGAAAGTATGACCGACATAATAATTTTCACCGGTAAATGTCATCTGAACTAGTAAGAAACATCCACTTTTGTTCTGGTTCTGATATTGCAGTAAATCTAAGAATCGCTTATAAGTTATCATATCACGCAAAACTGGCAAATTATACTTTATTCTCAAATTGTTAATGTTAACAACGTCAGCATTGCGTAAAATTTAATTTATTTTGAAACATTGTGCAGCCCTAGATAGATCAGGATGTTCTGTACCTGGAAGTGCAGACGTGCAGGTGAGATCATTTGGAAGCTGGAACTGCGTAGGGTTCCTCTGCATGGCAGCGGCAATTAGGAGGTCAAACGGTCTTTTGAGGGTGTTTGTTGAATTCAAGAGCTCAGGCTCAGAACCCTGGGCCTCATCCTCCACGTCCAGGAGGTCTTCCTCCATCTCATTCTGCTCGGACGGTGTGGGTGTGTCATTAGAAGAAGTGTTGGAGTTGGGGGTCACAGGTCGGCTGTTGGGTCGCCCCTCCAAGAGCCGAACCTGAGCAACGGCGGCCCGTAGCCCTGTCCCGCCCGACCCCAGGGAGGGATCCAGACGTAATGTCCCACATTCCTGCTCAGGAGCCGGAGATGGCGTCTGCTTCACCAGCTGATGCTCCAACAAACCGTTAATTTGCTCCTTTTTCTGTTCCCTTTTCTGATTTAAAAAAAATTAAAAAAACATAAATAAATAAATAAAATAAAAAAACAAATCCAGCATGCCAAACATTATATCAGTCTAGGTCAATGACTTTTTTTTTAAATAAAATAAAAAGTTGACTAGCCCCAATGATAATAGCATTAATTATCATTTTTTTGTTTTTAAATATTATGTTATAATTACTATTAAAAATAATATTTTATTTAAATTGTAAAAGTAAAATCGAATAAATATTACTATTGCAATAATACTAAAACTGTAAAAAAAAAAAATAATAAGTCTTCATATATTTTCTTTCAAATTATAACAATTTGACAATTATTGACAATGATTTCTAAACTATTCTCATGCAAAAATTGGATAGATAAAAAAGGGTCAAATTTAAGACATGAGTGGACACCAACCTTCTTGCGAACGCTGCAGCGATGGCACATCCAGTCACCAGGGGGCAGCATTTCTCTGCTCATTGGCGGGTTACTGAGGAAATGTAAACAAAGTCAAGAGGTGAAACTACAGGCTTCATCTAATCGAGAGCAAACATTAACAGTTAAGGCATGGACAGCCATTCAACACTACAATAAACGAGCATAGGACGGCAGACCAGCTTTATACTCCAGTGTACTCTGAGTCTAAGTGTGTCATGCAAATAAAGCAAACAAAACATGATACTATAACTTCGGCAGCTTCTAAAGCCAGGCCTACGTTAAACATGAATAAAAGAGATACACCCAGCCTGCATAGAGATGCGAAATCAATAGCTAATTATGTAACGAGTTTCTGTTTCTCTAATGCACTGCACACATGCAAACAGACTACGACTAAACTTCTGTTCTACAGATGGTTTAAAAGAAATCAGCCACGAAGCTCGGATTCTGTATTACTTCAAAAACTGGGTAAAAACACAAATGCAAACCTGTTTTAACTTTCTAATATGCCACAGTTCTTTCAAATAACTTAAAAACGGATGCATCTAAAAACACTAAAGACCCATTAAAAGATCCTGTTTGAAGACCAGAAACTCTATTCGAGACTACACAAACGAAGGCTAGATTTCCCGGGGCCCGTGGGCCGCACAGAACCAGCTGCATGTGTTTCTCCTCAAACACACATGGAATCATTTCAGCTCCCAAAAGAATGGACAATGAGAAAATACGGAGGGGAAGATTCGAAATTCAAACTTCCTTCTTTCAAGCTGACCGACAGCAGCATAAAGTGAGATTCAAAGCAGCAAAGAAATGGAAATAGTGACAGATCTTTGCTCCCATAAATGGATTATCGAAAGAAAAAAAAAAATTTAGGGTGGTAACTTGGTTCTATGCATCGGCTGTTGATTGGATTTGAGATTTGGGTGACTGTTTTTGCAGGGACAAGTCCTGCATACATCATCAGAGAGAAGTTTGTCCTTTAAAAAACAACCAGCACAGATTAATTGATAACAAGAAGACCTAAAACATGCATTTAGAAAAAAAGATGTAATTTTCGTTTCATGTCGACTGTAGTAAACAAAGCCGTACGATCACGCAAACATCTGACAATCTGAGTGAGATGATTTAGGAAAATCTATCTCAATCTCAATCAGATCTCTCCATAATGGAGACGTGATGGTGGGTGGCCTTCAGATGCCCGTAGTTAATGATTATTTCTCAGCTTCATGCTCGAGAAACATCAGACAGCATATAAATTAACAAACCACAGCCTCTATAATGTTCCATCTGAAGATGCAAGAAGAAACCTCAGCCAAATCTGAGTTGTCACAGCAAAAATGCAGCACAAATTACTTCTGCGCTCCAACTAAAACAGCATCACAGTCCTGGGCCCAATTTTGTCCCAGCTCCAGCATCACACACCAGCACTGTAGATGGAAGGCAGCGGGGCAGTGATCACAACACAGCAGGTCCCCTCCTTCCCGACAGCTGTCGCAGGTGTCGTGATTGGTGGCCCTGCCGGCTCTCCTGGTGCTCCTGTCCGGTTTCCTGGTCCTCTTCTCTCCATCCTCAGACTTGGGCGGCGCTAGCAGAGTCTGGATTTGCTGCAGGAGAAAAGCGAGAGAGGTTCAGAAACTCATTAGTGAAACATCTGCACGCGTCTTACATCACATCAGCCGCTCAAACCATTGTTGGGCCGTGACCGTGAGCGCGCGCACGCACGTTCACGTGAAGGGAGCCTATGGATGACATTAGTGAGCAATTAGCCGCTACATTGAGAATACTAAACAGGCAGTAACGCGAGGAATAATCGGGTGTATGAGTGTGTTTGTCTTACTCTTACCTCCATCAGCCCGCCGGAGGTATCCAGATCGTACACGATCGTCGGGGTCTCCATTTTACCCCACATCAACACAGGCCAGGACTGTTTCTGACTCCCTAAGCCGCTACACCCCGACTCCTGTCAGTTGAGTAGCCTCTCACTTCTATTAAAATCGCCTCAGAAATCCCGCCCGTGTCTGTTATGGCTCCGCGCGGGCTCTCCGTTAATCGAGCAGGCGCGCGGAGGCCTCTATCCCCGGTGCTGTGCGAGACTATGGCCCGGCATGAGAAGGAATAATAAAGACAGAGGAATTATCATTAAGTCCATGATGTGAAGACGTCAAACATCAAGCCCCCCGAAGAACAACTCATCCGAGGAACTGGCAGCGGCGAAAAACAGACGTTTTTCTCCCGGTGAAAGAGCGACTTAACAGCAAAGCGTCTCTGTTGTGATGAAGGAACGCTCGCGCTAACTGACGCACAAATCTGTGTGCGCATGCGTGGGCCAGTTATCTGAGTTGGGAATCCAATTCGTTTAGAGAATCGGTTCGTTTTGGTGAGCCGGTGCAGTAGAATCAATTCACTGGTTTGCCATCACTGATATATTTATTATCTATTCTAATACATCATGTTTAATATTTATGTAATATTCAATATTTAAATACGTATTTTATAAAACATATTTTATTATTTAAAATTCTTGCATTGTTTATGGTCATATCACACACCTCACAAGCTTATAACCAAAGTTTCCCAGAAAAAAAATTGTAATAATTTTCTAACTAAATCTGCAATTCTGCCATTCTTCTTTCATAACAGAATGAATAAAGACATGCATCTAAAATCAATATGGGAGTGAGAAAATTATTAGGTTTAACTTTTGTCTGAACTTTGCGTTGTTTACGTTCGAGTTTTTTACACACGCTTTGCGAATCGGTTCGAATGGATCTTAAAAAAGAGCCGGTTCAAGACAATGATTCGTTCGCGGTCAGGCATCGCTACCCGTCAACAGTGTAGCCATCTTGCTCTTTTCCTCCGTTTATAAAGCCTCTCCGTCGATGGGGTCATTATGTGAATCTCTAGTATTTTTTTTGTTGTGTGGGTGTGAGGAGCTTGTTCAGTACCCTAACCAGTAAGGGATAGAAAGCAAAAGCGTTGATCCTGTTTGTTTACGTGTTCGAGTTTCTTTGTATTGTGAGGGAATTCTCTGGCCTCTGATTGGACTATTTCGTCGCCGGCGTAACATGAACCAATGCGCGTAAAGGAAGAGATGAAACCATTTTTTTATTACTAGCTATAAAATCACCGGTGAGCCCTGAACAATGGCGGTGGATTCATTCGTTCGTTCATGGTTATATGTAATTAGATATATCCTATATATAAAGATATTAAATATTTAGATAAGTTAAAATACATATTTATGTCCATTAATTACAAGTATATTATAATAGAATACATAGTCTATAATTTTATATAGTATATATAGGTGCTGTTAAATGAATAACTGTTGTCTCGGTCAAATAAAAGTTTCACAGCTACACACAATGCACAATAAACACAAACTCATACTAGTTTTGGACAATTTATTTACAAAGTGTTCTGCAAATAAGCCCTCATGCAGCGACAGTGTGTTGTACATAGAGAAATGTCTTTATCACCATCACTAGTGGAACTCAAGACACTCGGACACTCTCCCACCTTCACACTCTCAGTCGTTTGCTGCATGTGGGAGAAAACGGTTTCCATCACTGTTGTTCCTCAATGTTAAACCAGGAACCATCTTGGTGCTCTCTGATATAGTCCAACCTTAAGTTGTGAGCCTTGGGATGTTTTAGCGGACAAATAAAAGTACAACACAAACCTCAGGCTCGTATGTGCTACAGAAATAACACCCTATTGTCCACCAGTGCAGGCAGAAGTCTTAGAGAGAGAAAAAAATACATGAACTGGAGCCCAGCAGAAAAAAAAGGAGAGATGCCAAAAAATACTTTCCATAATGGATTTTACATACACACCTCGTAATGCCTTGCATCCTGAAAAGATAAACAAATACAATTTCAGAACAGTACAGTGTTTTTTCTTTGTCTTATTGTCTTTATTCAGAGCCTGGTGATGCAAGTTATATTTAAAACAAATAAAATGCATTTCAATAAAAAATACAAAGCTTTGGAAGTCAGATATTATAGAATAGCTTTAATTGCACTACCGTTCAAAAGTTTAGGGTCGGTAAGAATTTGAAAATATTTTTGAAGTCTCTATGCTCAACAAGTTTACATATTTGATCACATATACTGTAAAAACCTCCATATTGCTAAATATTATTTATTGAATTTTCAGCATCATTACTCCAGTCACATTTATTATTATTATGAATGTTTTATTATTATTTTTATTACATTTTAACTATAAAATTCCAATGTAACAGTATTATCAATGTTGATAACCATTGTGCTGTTTAATATATTTTTTGGAAATACTTTTTTAGGATTCTTTGACAAATAGAAAGTAAAAAAACAACAACAAAATTTATTTGAAATAGAAAACTTTACGTAAATGATCTTAATGCATCCTTGCTGAATTTCTTAAAACAATGCGACAGACCATAAACCTTTGAACTCAGACATGTTTATCTATGTATAATGCAATAATGCACAATTCAAGAGCTTCATTATTTGAATCAAGAGAAAGGAAACATGAAAACATGAAACACAAAAATGATGAAACATAAAAAAATAAGTCCTGTGAGAGTCATGAAACAATCCAATCAAGTAAAAGTAATATAATTTAACTAAACATTAATAATTAATTACACAATCTTTCAAATGTAATTTGGTCTGAACTTTTCACATTCAGAAGATAACAGTAAATGACATAATCTTGGATGCTGTATGATTACGGGATGCGTTTTAGGTTAATATGAGGTACACACAAGTATTAGAACGTCTAATTAGAGAACATGTCGAGTGTATATGACACACACACACACACACCATCTGCTGAGTTTTAGCTACCCATGACCCATGGCTTCAAGCCAAAATTATTTTTAACCTCTTAAATGAACGTTTTCATGTTTGTAAGGGCATCAGAGTCTTTCCTTCTCCACTGAATTGTATTTATTCTTACCCTTTCATGTGCATAGCAGCATTCTTTAACTTCTTTGAAAATGTTAAAATGTTATAAGAAATAAAAAAAAATTAAATGTATTAAGAGTCCCCAAGAAACATGTTGTTTTCTGCAACATTAAGCTCATTTAATCATGAAGATATTTTTATGATATATGGTCCTAAGTTCTTAAAGGGATACTTCGGATTTAGCATTAACTAAGCTTAGTAGAAAACTTGTAGTATTTTCGAATTACCGTGCTCATATCCCCCTGAGACGAGAGATTTATATATTTTTTGTCTGGAATAAATCTACTGCGCTCTGTTACCGGTAGGCGTGGCCTCCTAGGGCAGCGAAGCAAGTGCATTCTGGGAGTTGTTGTCTTTCATCCACATAAGCCAAAAATACATTTTGTGGCTTTTCTCAGTCTAGAAAGCTCCAAATTCAAAAATAATTTCACATTTCTTCTTTGTACTTTAAGTAGCGCCATTATGAGACTGATACTGCTACATTATAAATACTGGCCTTTAAAATAAAATGATATGTCTCTGTTGGCTGTTTAGCCATATAACTGTTCAGATCCCTGTTATTTGTTCTGCGGCTCAGGTCAAAGTAATAGATGACAGGTGGAATGATAAAATGGCAGGGTTGATCAGGACAGGACGATGGTGTTGTGAGATCCCACGTCTCTGAGGTTCATGGCATCCATACTTACTCCCGTCTCATACACGGGGTTGTCAAACGCAGATTCTTCAGTCATGTTGTCGTAGGGTGGAGAAGACGACCCAGGGAGCTGAAGGGTCTTGCTTTGAGCTCTGCAGAGACACAACCTTATTAGTGGAAAAACAAACCCCAAAACAATAAGCACCGTGTCATTTTCCCTGCCCTTCAAACTTACATTGAAATGAAGAGGAAAAAGACCAAGAGGAGCATCAGGACCACTGCAACAGGAATCAGAACTGCGATGGCAATGTTGACGCCCTCCACATCAAACTCTGAATCCGCAGCTATAATGTGGACATTTTACAGAACATTTAAAAAAAATAATCCCCCAGTTTCTTGCTCTGATACATCTTAAAACCTGTCAGTGCTATTGTTTTATCTCAAGATGTGCATCAGTAATGTTTTTTTCTTTCTAAAGCACATCTATAAAAGCTACTTAAATGCCGCCTAATTGAACTAAAGCCTAATCCTTGCTTAATCTAAGCCGTGTTTGTAAAGTGTTGATAATATTGAAGAAGTATTACCGTTCAGCCTGTGTTCCTCAATGTTTCTCGAAGAAGCTGAAAAACACCAGAAACAACTTTTGAGACACAATGACATTTAAAGGGATACTCCACCCCAAAATATAAATTATGCTATCATTTACTCACCCTCAAGTTGTTGCAAACCTGTGTTAGTTTCCTTCTTCTGCTAAACACAAAGGAAGATATTTTGAAGAACTATTGTAACCAAAAAGTTGTTTGGCACCATTGACTTCCATAGTAGAAAAAAACAAATACTATGGAAGTCAATGGTGCCAAACAACTATCAAACAACAAAAATATCTTCCTTTGTGTTCAGCAGAAGAAAGAAACTCACACAGGTTTGCAACAACTTGAGGGTGAGTAAATGATTTTTGGGTGGAGTATCCCTTGTGTGTAACGATGAGGACTTTAAGAGTGCAGTTCCTACCTCTGCACATAGGAGGCGCACCACTCCACTGAGAGGGATGTCCCGGGATGCAGTGGATAGTGGCTTCACCCTGAAGCACATAACCTAAATGACAGGTGAAGCTCAGAGTCTCTCCCGCCTGGAAGAAAGCTTTCTCTGAGCTCTGGATGGCCGTGGAGGGAGCGCCGGGGTTACTGCAGGGTTCATATCTCTCAGCTAAAGAAACAAACACAGATCAGGCTGCTGGAATGCAGTAATCCTGAAATCCACTAGATGGCGGTAGAGTGTAAGAACTAAAGTCAGTTTAGGTTGGATTTCTTGTTATGCTGCTGTCTGACCGATACTTACGGACACATTTGGGCAGTTTTTCACTCCACTTTGGGTCTGCGGTTTCTCTGCTGTAGCAAGTGAGCACTCCAGGGCCAGAAAGGGAGTATCCTTTGTTGCAGATGTACTCGACAGACGAGCCCACGGCGAAACGAGAGCCGGTCACCAGTCTGCGGCTGTTGTCCACTAGTCCCGGATCCTCACATGACATAACTAGACAAATGTCACGAATAAAAACATAGGAGAAAATGAAAAATCACAACATAAAAGTGTGTACATTTCCCCAAAACTGAAGAACAAAGGATTATGAAGATAATAAGCGAATAAGAAAACTAGTTAGAGAGAAGAAGTGTAGCTGAAATGTTTTGTGCGAAGCCATTTTTATTTAATAAATTGATTCGATTTGATTTATTTAT